GGAAATAGTTTCTCCTTGTTCACCCTATCATAATTTTGAAAACTTCTATTAAGCCTCCTCTTAACCTTCTCTGCTCCAAGGAGAATAATCCTAGCTTCTGTAGCCTCTCCTGATAACTGAAGTCCCTCATTCCTGGTACCATCCTGGTAAATCTCCTTTGCATCCTCTCCAATGCCATGACATCCTTCCTAAAGTGTGGTGCCCAGAACGGTACCCAGTACTCTAGCTGAGGCCTAACCAGTGTTTTATGAAGGTTCATCATAACTTCCTGACTTTTGTATTCTATGCCCCTATTTATAAACCCTTATCCTGTATGCTTTTTTAACAGTTTTATCTACCTGTCCTGCCACCTTCAAAGATTTACATATATGAATCCCAAGGTCTCTCTGTTCCTTCACCCCCTTGAAGATTGTACCATCAACTTATATTGTCTTTCCTCATTCTTCCTCCCAAACTGCATCACTTTGCATTTCTCCACATTAAACTTCATCTGCCACGTGTTTTTTGCCGCTTTTCTATACCCTTGATATATAGGTTGGAGAATCTGTGTTCACTTTAATAGGAGGAAAGCAACTGTGCTTTTCTGGTAACTTTACTACACAATAGTATATTAACCAAACTACATTCAGATGTAATGACCTCAAATAAGCCTTCAAAGTGTCTTTCAGCTCAAGCTCAGGCAATGCTTTTCTCAGCAGCGTTAGTTATAACACGCATCACTTTCCAACTCACACATCAGATGTGTGATAGATATGTTCCACATCTTTCCTGAGCTCATACATTGCACCCTGCTTTAATCTCACACATCTTTGTGACACTGTTGGAGCTAGGGAAATGAATAAAAATTGTGTGAAAAGAAAGGAAACTGTTTTCTCTAATAAGGTAATGACAATGAACTGCCCATTACTCTTTGCACAAACCCTTTGTGTTTGATGAACTTGCTATGTTACAGTGACGGTAAAACCATTGTACAGTTAGCAAAAAAAATCACTTCTGCCAAATGCATTGTACCTGAATTGGATACCATATAAATGAGGGTGTGTATCTTGTGCTAATAGACATGTGATTACAGTTACTACAGGATAAAGGTCAACTCAATTTCACTACATACTTTCACATTGATTGTCTTCTATTTGATTAAAAGTATCTGGGGAAAATTGTAATGAAACTCGCACAGTGTAACTCTAATCAGATCCCAGGAGACAGAGGGTTTACAGTTGTCATCTGACTTCAACAGAGGCTAAAAAAGCAAAATCTTGTCTGATGCTTCAAGGCAAGCCTCAATAAAAATGTCACAATAATCAATAGAGTAAAACCTGGACAGAATGACAGGATTTCTTCAATGTCTGAAAGATGTGGGAGTTCAGGGGTCCACCTCCTGGAGCACACGAGAGTGTCCAGGTTTTTTGATGTTTTTCTGCAGCGATGGCCAGGATTGAATAATGTATTGTATGAACTTTTCATGTCCTCTTTGTGAGTGATACGATTAATACATTGTAAAGACACAATTTTCACAAAATTTGTAGGTGGCTCTGCCTCTTATGATGGGTTACCATTGGGTAGGGAGGGGATTGCACTTTAAAGGTTCTGAGTGAGTACTTGCCCCACATTGAAGCCAGGAATCTGGTTGTTAGTTGATTGGCGATCACTTTTCTGAGAGTAATAATTCCTTCAAAAAGCATGTGAAGGTGTTTCGCCATGTTTCGCCCCCATTTTTTACAGTCAATTCACTTTACAGTATATTCTGTGAAGCGCTTTGAGATTTCTCGAAGATGTGATTATACACTGTAAAGTGCTTTAATTGTGTAAGGATTATTGTTATTTATTTTGTGGGTGAAACACAGCAGCCAGTTTGCGCACAGCAGTGTCCCACAAACGATCCCATGGAGTGACCAATTTTATTTCGACGAATTTGTTTGCCAGGATACTGGTTAACCTTACACATAAACTAACACTGCATAACAATAAGATTCCTTATTTTCATATGTTCTTATGCATTTGGTGAATAAAAATTGAAAAACTCCTCACCAAATACTTTTTCTAAAGGCAGTTATTTGTGAGTGTAGGGTTATGTGAGAACAACTAAACTATATACCAGTATTTCAAAGGAATAAGAAATAAAAGGATTAACAACAAATCGATTAATGGTTCAGATTAAAAATGTATAAAAATGTAAAATTGTGGCTTGGGTAATCAAGCTAACCTGGACCACTGCCAATGCTTGTGTGTGACCATTTTGTTCACTGATGCTACTTCCTGAGAAGTAATAATAATAATAGTAATAATTCTTGCATTTGAAATAGCGCTTTTCACGCCTTCTCGACATCTCAAAGCGCTTCACAGAATAGACTGTAAAGTGAATTGACTGTACATTTGTGGGAGAAACACGGCAGCCAATTGCACACAGCAGTGTCTCACAAACAGTTGTGGATTGAAAATGACCAATTTATTACTGTTTTGTTTTGGAAGGATTATTATTAGGTGTGTGGAGTAAGGAAACTTGCCCGAGGTTTCACCCTGCCTGGAATTGAACCCAGGTGTCTCTGCAAGACGAGTGCTCTAACCACTGAGCTACAGTGAGCTACTATCTAGAAGTAGATCAAGGGAATTGGGATAGGTACTTGGGCAAGGATAAATTGGCAGGAATATGAGGAAAGAGGGCTAGTTGATATAGCCCTCATCACGCTGTTGAGACGTCTCAAAGCCTTCACATAACATATTGGAAAGTGAGTTGTGTATTTTGTGGGTGAAATGCGGCAGTGTCCCACAATCAGTCGTGGATTGAGTGACCAATTTCTTTTTGCAGGGGAGGGATTATTACCTCTGGAAAGGAATCCGCCAATCGATTAACAACTGGGTTCCTACTTACTGCTAGGTAAACAAAGGCATGTGGAGTATGGAAATTTGCCAAATAATCTCTTCTCAATATTTTATTTTGAATTTATGATTGAGATTAGGGGCTTTCAACCAGCCAAATTGCATGCGATTAGCTGAGCTCAAACTCTCTCAACCCCAGCAACCCCAATGAATACAATAGGTTTCTTTAAGAAATGACTTTATTTCATCACATTTTATGTATACAAAATTAATAACAATTTACAATGAAAATCACTTTAATCCAAATGGTATAAGGAGAATGAACATCTCAGTGCTATTTCCTTTTCTATACAAGACATGATTGTGCCATTTTTTGTTAAAATAAAGTGCATTTCACCATTAATATATAAAAGAACACATTTCCACATGACAGAGTGCTCTTACATTTATTGTTCTGTTGTGTTTTTGACAGCTATAAAGAGATATCAACTAACCTGCTCTCACCCCTTACACAGATGTTAGGCAAGATCAAAATCCTGTCTGTACTGACAACCACGAATAACAACCTTGCACTGCATTACACTATTTGCTATAAAATTGATTTACCAATAATATTAGCATCTAGGTGGTATAGCTGGCATGTTAGATTACTTCTACCACTTATTCAGTGTTTCAAAGATGAGGAAATATCTTGACAGGGAAGCAAATAACATGGTTTGGAAGATAGCAATGCCCTGCTACCTGCAGACATGAAGGCATCACCACTGGTAAAGCAAAGGCTATATCAGTAAAGTGCAACAACAATATTCATTATTGATAAAAAAACATAAATTGTTTCTCACGTTTCAGGTAATATTTTGTGCGTTATATAATTGGTCCTTTTTTTTTGCTTATTGCAAATTTGTTCTCTGGTGAAATCTAGAGGGAATGAGAATTTCCCTGAATTATTTGGGGAAATTAAAGTAAGGATGAAAAATCTTTTGTTTTTTGTTTTAGATTTCCCAAAACCACTTAGCCTTCTATTTCCATTATACAATGACTACTTTTCAGGGAACGAGCTAAGTAACGAATGGGTTAAATGATTTTTTTTTAAACAAGAATATGGGTAATTTCATTTCATGAGGTGGGCATTCCACGATACCCAAGAAGCAATGAAACCAATAATGTCAAGCAGGTCCGGAGGTTTGAGAAAAAAAGTGCAAAAGTCCAAACCGAATATCTATTTTCGGTTTCAAACTACAGGAGTAAAACAAAAATAGACAAATCAAGTCAAGAGTCACAAAGTTCAGCAACTTAAGCATGCTGTTTGCATACAGAAACGTATAAATAGTGACTTTGCCAAGAGAACAATATATACTTAACATGTTAAAACTCTATTTGTGGAAGCGTTTTGTGCTAAGCTGTTGGGAAATTGGGTGGGTTGAATTAGATGGACCAATGATCTACTCATTAATCCTGCCTGAAATTGTTACTAGGTTACTAATTACCTTATCTCAAAAATCAGGTTATTTAATAATATTTAAATCTCTGTCTCAAAATATTAAAGCCTTGAATATCCTAGTAACTACACATAGTGGTTTTATTATGGTATTGCTGCATGTATGAAAATAGTATAAATTAGTAGTTCAATAATTTAATAATGGCGGGGAGCTATTTCTGGACTATTTAAAACGCTGAGCAATTTCCCCTAAAAATTGAGTCATTTACGTAGCACATCAGTAACATAGAAACGTTCACATTTACCACAGTAACTTTTTAAATCCCTCGTATGATAAAGCTCAATACTGCATGTGAAATACCACTTTGCAAAAATAATACGGAAGTTAAATAACATCTGTGATGCATTTTCTTTCTCCTAACACTGCCTTATGAGTTTATGGGTGGCTCTGACTCTTAAATGTGGGGGGGAAGAGAACACCTTTCACTCTCTCTCCCTTCCCCGGGAACCCCCTCCCCCCCCCAGAGAATCCGCGGAAAGAGTAACATTGCAGGAAGCATTTTTCACCGAAATAAATAATGACAACAACTTGCATTTATATAGCACCCTTCACGCGGAGCAGCATCTCAGAGTACTTAACCAATACATCGAAACCAAAAATAAAATACATACACACACACACACACAGATATGGGGATCGCCTGAGAAACATAAAGTTAATTTTGAATGGCTTCTGAACAATTAGTTATACGTCGCTAGGTGACCGCGCTCGTAATAAAATGTTGGGAGGGATACAACCGCAGCATATGAGCCAAAGCGCCTTTTGAATCTCCTGGTTTCGAAAGGCGTAGATGACTGGGTTGATGATGGAGTTGTAGGTGGCTGGCAGCAGGGTGGCATAGGTATAGATGGATGGGTAGGTGTAGTCCGCTATCAAGCAGTAAACGGTGAAAGGCATCCAGCAAGCGGCGAAGGTGCCTAGAATTATTGCTAAGGTGGAGACCCCTTTCCTGGTTGTCACATAGTGAGATGTGGCCAGGAAATGGTGCTGCAAGGCTATCTGATGGGCATGCCTCATCACGATCTTGCAGATCTGAATGTAGAGCTGGAGCATGAGTGCAAACATGAGCAGGAAGGAGACAGACAGCGCAGCCACGTTGTTTTTGGTGAGGGGTTTGATCACACTGCACGTGGACTCGTCCTTCAGGCAGTTCCAGCCTATCACAGGTAGAACCCCCAAACAGATGGATACACCCCAAAGCACGATCAGCATGATGTAGGTGAATGTGACGGTCCTTTCCGAGTTGTAAGTCAACGCGTAATACAAGGAGAGGTAGCGGTCTATGGTGATGGCCATCAGACTGCAGATAGAGGCGGAGAAGGAGGCGACGATGAGTCCCACCGTGACTAGTTTGGCGGCTTCTGAGTGCAGTAGATAGGCGAAGGTGAAATTCACGATGAGCCCAATGCCAGCCAGCAGGTCAGCCACGGCCAGGCTGCCGATCAGCACGAACATAGGGGCTCTGAGGCTGGGGCTGTGGAAGATAGTGACCACCACGATAGCGTTCTCACAGGAGATGACAGTCCCAGAGGTGCAGAGGACTATATCCCAGGGATTCACCGCCTCTGACAAGGGCACTACAGAGGCAGCTGCTGCAGAGGTGTTCTCAGCCGGCTGTGACACCCAGCTCCCTGATTTATTCGCTGTGTTTTGCAAGTCTTCGTTCATTGTCTTCTCCTTATATTATATATATATATATACACACACATATATATTAGATATTAAATAAAATATGGGTTGCTCCTAGCACTGGCAAAGAGAGAGAGAGAGAGAGAGAAATGCACATTTTAGTCAGTGTGAGAAATGCACATTTTAGTTGCATTTTTTTTTGTAAAAAAAATCGAGCACCTTTTCTGTGCCGCATATACACACATACATTCATATCTGCAAAGCCGCGGGGTCTCAGGTATCACATAATGTAGAGAGAGAGAGAGAGAGAGACGCATACATGGCTTAACCATTATTAGCACTTGCAACGCTGAATATATATATATATATACATGTAATATATATATATATATAATGTATAGATCTACTGTATATAACAAGCACTTACTCAGGGAAATAAAGCCATCCAAATGCAAATAAACACAAATCATTGCAGAATGTTTCTTCTTTTGCATATATATCAAAATAAAATTAAAACAAATAAATAAACTGCCCCCCCACCCCCACCCATCCATCCACCCACCCACCCCAAGTCCACAGGGGTTACAAGTACAGTGTGCAATGCACGTTCGTCGTCTCTCTTTTTTTTTTGCAGGTTACCTTGTCTTTGTGATGGAAAGTCCCCATGTGTTCGGAATTACTGCGCCTCAGCCCTTTGCACAGCACAGCACAGCACAGCTCAGCACAGTGCTCCCCTGTGAAGCCAGGACGGTGGGGCTGTGGTTAAAGCCCCAGCCCAGAGCCTTTGTGCTGCTGGATGGCCTGGGCGGTGCAGTGCATTGCTGAATGAGAGGAGAGAGGGAGAGAGAGGAGAGGGAGAGAGAGGAGCTGGGAGGCGAGCAGCTGAATCACTGCACCGACGTCACTCACAGCAACAAGAGAGTCAACCAGAGACAGTCACCGAATGCACTCCAGTGTTTTAAAGGCATCTCCTCCATCCCCATCCCCAGAGGCACACATGTACGAAACGTCACGCGTTTCATGCAATGCTTTTTTTGGACGCAGTTAAGGCAGCGCAATGGTCGTTTTTTGTCGTCAGAAAGAAAGAGAGAAAGGAAGAAGTGGATAACGTGGCAATGCAATTGAAAGGACCATGCCTTTGGGGTGGATTGCATTGCATTGCGCACACAACCTTGGGCTGCAAGGTCACACGATGCATAATAATCCTTGCATTTGATATAGCGCTTTATCATGTCATACCGTAATGTCGCACGTGTCTCGAAGCGCTTCACAGAATATACTGTAAGGCGAATTGACTGTATGTTCTTGTGGACGCAACGTGGCAGCCAGTTGCACGCAATTATCCCACAAACAGACGTGGATTGAGTGACCAAATTATTATTATTATTTTGAGGGATTATTACCCCTGGAAAAGGATGGTGCGAACACATTATTATGCCCAATGTGACAACCTTACTGTTCTGGCCTGTTACCCGTTATAGAGTTATAAAGACTGGTTGTTCATATACTTTGAGGGATATTGGCATTGTTCTAATACGGAGAACAATTACTTAAGTTCCGCATTGTCGTAAGGTGGAAACCAGCGATTCAACACATCTACAGTGACAACAAAGTTATTATAATAAATGTTTGGTCTTAAGATTCTTATTGATGCCTCAAAAGCATCAATTGAAACATTTATTCAAACCCTAAGATTTTGTTCACAAAATAAACTGTCAATCAGTATATCCTGTGAAGCACTTTGAGACTTTTCCATGACAGTGCTATGTTACATGCAAGGATTATTATTATTATTATTATACCATAACTAGAAAATGCAGAGCACTTGTGACAACTGTATAAATAGCTAAATGTTATTTGATTTTGAAGAGTCGAACCTGGCACATTGGAGGTATCATTTTCTATACAGTGCTAATGAACCTTTCTATAAAGGCTCAGCTCTGGGTTTGAATGCAGGGAAAAGATAAAACATAAAAAAGATACATCTTTGCCAAATCTTTGCATTTGGTATAGCGCCCAACTTCAGTTAGTTTGTTCCCTGAGGCACTGTAAGTGATTGCAATAAGCTTTGTATTTGTTTTATTATTATTCATAATTGCATTTGGAATTATGTCTTTCACATCAGGAGTACGTCTGAAAGTGCTTCAAATGTAAACACAGAGGTCTGCTCTTTGACTGCGGAGCAATGTCAGCTGAGCTTTACAACTCAATGCTCTCCACTCACCCCACTGTATAAAGTTATCAGCACCTGCAAGACAAGCCCAGTGTGTCAGACACATCAGACACACCTCAAGGCACAAAAATGCAATAAGTACAAGTGTGGATGGGCTTCTCAGAATTGGAATAGAGAAGCAACCCAAGAATTTACTCAGCAAGCCCACAGACCTGGCTACTTGCCCAGATCTACATATAATAAACTATGGACACCTAGTGACAGCATGAACCTCTCCGCACATAATGAAGTTTGTGGTTTTCATACCAGCCACAGTACTCTGTATTTATTCTGTCCATAGGTAGTTTCCTGCTATCACAGCACTAATTACTTCATATTCTATTAAGAGGCATCTCTTATTACTCGACTGCCTTTCAATCCTATCGCATCTCATCCGTTTAGGGAAACAATACTTATATCAACAGCTACTTGGGTACACGAGAAGGTCGTATAAAAGAAATGTGAAGAGTGGATGGAAATCCACATCTTTAAGTCATTAGTACAAATTATTGCATCTTAAAATTGAATGTTTTGATGCTACAAAAGGATAATTTGTTGATCCTCAGAATATTCATTTTGATTCTGGGCTAAGTATTGATTAATGGACAAGCAACAGGGCAGCCTCATAACCTGCAGATAAATGTTATCTAGACTGAGAAAAATCTCATTCTATACAACCTTTGTCTGCAGAAACAGTCTAGACTTATCCAGACTGAAAAAATCTCAGTCTAGATAGGTCTTATTTCTTATTATATTGGCTGAGTAGGTCAAATGTAACATACCAAATGTTTGTACAGTCTTCAAACACCTAACACCCCTCCTCTGAATATTCAATTTTGTATAACAGGAAAAAAATAGAACCAGATGGAATAGTTTTTTTAAAAAAAGCCTTATAAAGATCAAACAAATCTTGCCAATGACTTGAGGATAGAATAGACCTCATTGAATTAGGCTATGAAAATGGAGACTGGGATTTAGGCATACTGTATTGTAAGGCACTTATTCCCAAATTTCCCACTGTGGAGTCCTGCAGCTCAGTAGTTAGAGCACGAGCTTTGCAAGCGAGAGACCTGAGTTCAATTCCAGGCACAGGGCGAAACCTTGGGCAAGTTTCCTTACTCCACACAGAGCCTAATAGTAATCCCTCCAAAACCAAAAGCAATAATAAATTGGTCATTTTCAATTTACGACTGTTTGTGGGACATTGCTGTACGCAATTGGCTGCCGCGTTCGTCCACAAATATACAGTCAATTCACTTTACAGTATATTCTGTGAAGCGCTTTGAGACGTCTAGAAGACGTGAAAAGCGCTATATCAAATGCGAGGATTATTATTATTATTATTAAATTTCAGATTTCTAATGAAATACTGCACTGGACATATTCTATTCTGTAACAAATAATGAGAATTTCTTTTAAAAAAGGCACCAAAGACTCTCAGACTACTTACAATATATCACAAGATGTAACCCAGTAAGGTTCCCCTTTATTGATGCGCTTTATCTCTAAGCTCAGAGGACCTTATGTAATGACAAATGTGACATTTTTCTATTTCCTACACCAACCATCATATCTGCCTTCTTTATGTGACTTTGCCAATTGTATACTAGATAGTGTCAAAACAGTGGCAGCTTTGAACTGTTGGATGATATTTCACCAGTTTGAGATTTTCCGAACACATTTTGCATGTGGAACCCTTCCAACCAACAGAGAAAGGAGATTTCCAGCCCACCAGTCTGGCCATGATTCAGACTGTGAAAAAAAAAGGGTATTACGCTATCCCATGGTACTACTCAGTTCCCATAAATCTGGAATTTGAAGAAGAAAAAACATTTAATTGGTAGCTAATGTCAAATGTAATGTGAAACATCCTGTAAAATAAATACAGCAATCATTCACCAACAAGTTCGATGAGGTGATTGATCAATTGATCTGAGGGATTGTAGGCAAGACTGCCAATCAGCATAAACATAATGTGATGCAATCTTTAATGTCTACCTAATGAATAATATATACCTAATGAATAGGCTGATATCTGGGTGGTACCGCCATATCTGGCTGGACTCAACCAAATCATCCGCTCCGCTCTCGCCTCAGCCAAATCATCCTTCTATTCCAGGTTAATCCTGGAGGCAAAAGGCAACCCCAGCCTCCTGTTCTCCACCACCAACCGGCTCCGCCGCCCTTCCCGACATGCCTCACAGATACTTTCCTCTGACTCTCACTGCGAGAAAATGCTGGACTTCCTCGAGTCCAAAATCGAGGGAATCTGCTCAGCTGCCACTGCCCTCCCAACTTCCAACCCCTCCCTATCTTCACCCCACACAATTACCCATCCGACAATTACCCATCCCTCCTTCCACTCCTTTGAACCTGTCACCCCCTCCTCTGTCTTCAACACGGTAACCTCCATGAAGTCCATCACCTGCTCCCTCGACCCCATCCCCACCCCTTTCCTAAAATCCCAGCTCCACCTCCTTGCCCCACTACTCGCCAACATCATTAACCTCTCCCTGTTATCTGGCATTGTTCCTTCCCCCTTCAAAACAGCCACTATCAACCCCACCTTGAAAAAACCTTTCCTCGACCCATCACAGCTATCCAGCTACCGCCCATCTCAAATCTCCCCTTCCTATCCAAGGTCCTTGAGAGAGCCGTTGCCTCCCAACTTCGCACTTTCCTCTCCTCTCACTCCCTCCATGAACCCCTCTAATCGGGTTTCCGTGCTTCCCACAGCACAGAAACTGCTCTGGTCAAGGTCACAAACGACATCCTGACCATGTGTGACCAGGGCTCCCTCTGCCTCCTCGTCCTCCACGACCTCTCT